ACATTGCGTGTGGTCCACACTTTTTTTTTTTTTTTAAAAAATGTTTTTTTTTTTTTTTTTTTTTTTTTTTTTTTTTTTTTAAAAAAAAAAAAAAAATCTGTAAAAAGGACTTTTTTTTTCTCTAACGCAATACACCTTAATCACATCACCGTTCGTGTTCACTCGAACATGACAAGCATGAAACTTAAATACTAGTATTATTATATTTTGTACTTTTGTATATTTTTTTTTTTCGTCTTTTTTTTTTTTTTTCCTTTTCTCTTGTAGAACTGTAATAGTGTGAGAAGTGTGGTCTTTGTATACATAGTAATAATAATAAAAAAGAAAAAAGAATGAAAGGAAGAAAGAAAGAAAGAGTGAAAGGTCACATGAAAGATCAAGCCAGTAGAAATTAATGTTCTTTGACCTGAAAGATGATTAACTCTCCCGTCTGACTTTCGATCAAGATTTAATTAAATTCATTTGTTATTTTTAAAGCATCCCTCGCATACCCTTGACCACACACCACCCCAATCTTCACTACCATCAGGAAACAATAACATCGAGTAATCACTGTGCTTGCCGCAAAATATGTTTCCGCACCTGTCGTTTGGAAATTGAGAAAAACGAATTTCCATCATTATTTTATTCGATATTCCAGGCACCAAAGAATAAAACAACGATTCTTACCTTCTACAGTGATGCCTCCGGCGCCACAAGTTGAACTGGATGTTACATGATTCGTGTTGGCACCCCGACACCTCATCATCTTCGATCCATCGTTTTGCCAGGCCTGGTACGTGAGTTATGTGAGAATGTGTGTGAAAAAAGCGGGCGCACAAATAAATATAAATTCGTGATGACTTACTGAATCGAGATTGATGTTGAATTCTTGCTTCATCGGTGAGAAACGTTATCGGATTCTCGACCTTCTGGCGAACCTGTGGGAAGAGAGAAAAGGGGAAAGAAGGAAAGAAATTGATCAATTTTAAAGTTAAAATAATTCCCCTTTATCGGATAACGAAATCGTGGCTTACCTGAGGAGGCGATATGCAATACGGAGGGATCAGATCCGAAGTAGGGAGGTTGCTTGTGGAAGAGTCTTTTGAGGGGGCCGGGGATACCGGTCGAATGTGCTCTCGTTCGGCAACGATCGGTGCATGAGAGATTTGAGAGATCGAACTTATGCTTGATTGATGACGATGCCTACTCGGTGTCGACGTTCCGCTCATACTTGGCGGTGGTTTCTTCAACTGTTCAACGCCACCGCTACTACTTTGACGACGAAGCGACGACGCCGTTGAACTTATGCTCGACTTTTGCTTACGATGAGTCTTCTTCTTTCCGATGGCAGCAGCCTGCTGCTGTTGTATCTTCTCGTTTATCAATTTATCCATCTTCCCCTCGAGGTCTTTCAATAAGGATTCCATGGAATCGATCATGCCAGCTTGACCACTCGTCACAGCTTCACATTGCCGTATCTTTTCCAGGTACTCGTGTTCCTTTGCCTCGAGGGTGCGTTCAATTTCATCCTTGACACTCAGTAGCAATCGAAAATCCTCTTTACTCTTCTCAATTTGGGATTGAAGCAGTTCTAATTCTTTCGCTTGGTTAACACAATTGCTCATTATGGTAGCATATGCATCAGGCCACTCACTACCATCCTCCGACTCTAGCGGAGATACGTTGGATAATTCCAAGGAAAGCTTCTCCATCTTCTCGTTCAACAGTCTATTGTAAGACAGCAACTCGTTTGTGCTCGTTTCCAAAGTTTTTTTAACCTCGGCTTTCGCTTCATGATATTGCTCTTCGAGTTGCTTCTTTTCATTCAACATCTCCACGCGATCCTTTTGCAGGCCGGCCAAGCTACTCTTCACGCTATCTATTTCTTTGCGTAATATGGAAACTTCTTGAGCAAGTGTCGCATCGATAACTCCACATGAACTTTCATCGTCTTCCTCGGCCATCTCCGAAGACGAATCCGTTGTGCTATCTTCGTCATCGAAGCTCGTGGTCTTTTTTATGCACTCGTTGTAGACTCCCGTGCTCCTGCCACTACTCGTGCTGGCATTACTTCCAAAACTCGTTGTCCTTGTAACTCTTGGCGAAGGGTATTGACTACTTCCCCGATGCATACTCGTGTCATTATAACATAGTGCATTAGCGCTGAGGTATTTTTTGTATTCTTGTCGAGTCGGTGGAGTCATTGGTATCTTTGGAGCAAAGGACTCGGGTGCAGTCTCGAAAGCTAGCCTAGGAGGTCGAGGTATGGGATGGCCTTTGTGTGAAGCATCTCTCCTCGGAGATTTCACTGCTTTTATGTTTGCGTGTGCCAGTATGTCACTTGAACTATTCGATCGTCTTCGTTGTCTCTGTCGAACACAAATAAAATAAATGGGTAAGTATATAGATATCCCTGTGTGTGTGCTTGTGTGTATGTGCGTATTTATTATACAGGTCGAGAGAAAGGAGAACCTAAAGTATTGCGACGGGATATGTATGTGCAAAGTCGAAGTCCTCAAAAAGTTCCTGAAAATAGCTATGCGGACAATAGACGACGGTGGATATGAAAAAAAGAGGTGGAGTACAAATTGCGTATGTAGGTACACACATATATATATATATATATATATGTGTATATATATATATGTATGTATATAAGGGTTGGATGTATAACAATAAACGGTTAACTAAGTTTAAAAAGTTTTTTTTTTTTAGACACACATATCGTAGTATGTATGTATGTGAGTACATATGAATCAAGTCTAGTGTCTAAGAATTGAGGATTTTTAAGAGTCTAAATCAGGCACGGAATTTACAATAACAATTGAGATGGTGTAGAGGTAGGAAAAAAAAGGTTAACATGCATGTAAGGTATACAATATGTCACCGAAGGGAAGAGGTCTTGGTAGGAAGGAACGGTATCACAGATACAGAGCAGCGTATAGTGTGTAATAATGTATATATACAGTATATATGTATATATAAGGTTCCGGTGGATACTTCAGGGTAACTCTATTTCCGAGGCTTCAACTCACGCACGCACATCCCGAAATTTTGACGAATCAAAACGAGAAAAAAAAAAATCTTTTTTTTTTTTTTTTTTTTGAATTTCAAATACGTACCGGAGATTTATTCAATGAAGATTTTTCATCGGTCCTGTTCGAGACCAGCGGAGGTTCAACCGAGATGCTCATAATGTAGGAACAAGAAATAGAACAGGTGCTCGAGAATAGAAGTGGTAGGTAAAGAAACTTGGGATGTGGTTAAAAAAAAAATAAAAAATAAAGAGAATAGTGATTCTTGAAATTGGAAAAAAAAAATATTTGCAGCTATATATATATGTATCTATGTTATTTATTTATTTATTTATGTAAAAGAAAAATATCAACATATATATATATATATATATATATTTTTTTTTTCTTTACACGAATCGTCGGTTATCACGGATGACCGTACACCTTTTTATATCAAATCCTTGGTTCATTCAACCTTCTGTTGTCTCCTGCAATGCCGGGAAATAAGGGTGGAGGATTTCTATCCCGTAAGCAAAGAGAGAAAGAAAAGAACAAAGCTCCTCTTTGGCGATGTGAGGGAGATTTTAAATAAATATCTTGAAACCTTTTTTTTTTTTTTTTGCATTATATATATGCGGATAATCGGGTGGGGCCTTTTACACGAATCCTATTGTATATTATTGAATGAGAGAACTTTTTTTTCGAATTAAAAAAAAAAAAAAATAATAAATAAATAAAAAAGAGATGCCCTAACCTATACTACTATGTGACACTGTATAAGGATTTGATGTTCATGTATTTTTTCCCTTTTCCATGGTTGTGCGGTCAAACAATTTCATGATGTTTTTTTTTTTACAGTGTCAATTTATACTTGCGTAACGATATAGAGGTGGAATTTATAATGTACAATAAAATTATTTACAGTATACATGGTGAAATGGGAATCAAAAACATGGTTAGTGTGCACTTTAAAAAATTAGGGATATGGTACCCGAAAGGGAAGGAATTCTCTTTATCCTTAACTTTCTATAAGTTTTACACTAATGATCATTGAACGTTAGCAAAAAAAAATTTTTTTTTTTTTTTTTTTTTCTACACGCATTGTCACGAAGAGGGAAAAAAAAAAAAAAAGGGTGCCCGGTCTCCTCCAACCCCCTTAATTTCAAACTTCGAAATTTGCTACCTCTTTTATGGAGATTTTAATCCTTCGTTCTGAATCACATACATAATTATTTTTGCCAATTGCTGCACTAGGAATTAGCCACATCCAGTTCAATAGGTTTCACCGAACCCGATCGATAAAATTCATCGCAAAGTTACGTGGAATCGGCACCAGGCATCTTTGAGATTCGCCAACTGCAAAAGGCTTTTTTTCGTGCGTACATACGTAATCCGTTCCCAGGAAACACGTTTTCGTCAGCAACAGTCGGGAAGGCACATGTCAGAATCCTCGCAATCCACGAAAATGACATATGATCCACTTTGTATACTCTTTGATCACGAGAATTGGCCAATTATCGAAATGGTCATGTGTTTGAAAGCAATTAGGTAAATTGATTTTTGCCCTCCCCACACCATTTTCATGATCTCGAAAGACTTTTTAAGTGTATGAGAGTCGACGTTTGGTAAAGAAAAATGAGTTATTCCCCGGTCAAATTCTCATCATTGTTTGATCTCTTTATTTTTTCAAGTCATCTGCTCTTCCCTCAAAATGATGATTTCTCCTTTCTTCAATGGACACATGATTCTATTACTGAATATGTCTATTACACCTGTCCCCAGCGAAACAATTCATTCGTCATTCGCTGTTACAGAATGACATTCATCTCGTGATCAAAGAGGGAATCGGTTTTACTTAAAACTTGAACTATCTCGCACTCCTCGATTCCATATAACGAAAATCAGGTTAATTTATTATTCGAAAACGCGTAACATGACAATTTTAAAATTCGGAATCGGAGGATCGATCAAATTGCTCGGTGAGGCCCTCCTTGTTATCTTGAAGAACTTTTATGGCTTTTTTATGATTATTGGCAGCAGCCAATCTTAAATATATGAGACCCTTATTTTTATCTATCGGCGTATTGTACTTTCCGCTATAATAGACGTTACCTAGGTTGAACCGAGCACTCGAATTTCCATTGACCGCCGATTCCGTTAGATATTTTAAAAATTCTTCTTTTGCCGAAGGATTTGTGTGAATTAGGATGGATGCATAACGAAGTTGCGCCTCGTGCACACCTTCATCGGCAGCCTCCTTGTAAAGTTTCATGGCTATTTGCTCGTCTTTCTCCACAAAGTAACCTTCCTCGTAATAATACCCTTTCCAATATTTGGCTCTCGGATTTCCAAGTTCGGCATTAGCGTCGAAGCACTTCCATGCTTCTTCATATTTCTGGCGCTTGTGAGCTCGCACGCCTTCTTCCAGAGAAATGATGACTTCTATTTCATCCTCAAACCTGTCATCCCCAAAATCTTCAAAATCTTCGCCCAGATCGAACTCGGAATCTTGTCGGGTAGTGATTCGTTGGGGTGGTAACGTTGGGGAGTATCTTTCGCACAGGCTTTGCAGATCAATTAACATTACTTGTACCAAGGGTCGAACCATGGGGTCATCCTTCCAGGCTTCAATCATTTTTTTAATTAAATCTAATGAATACAGTAATTGGAGATCGCACCAAATATCAAATACAATCAAACTCACCTCTTTGAATTATTTTCTTGAAACAAGCTTGAATACCCGAGCAAAGGCCAAAATTTATTTCTTCTCGTTTTCCACTCAACACATACTCTTTAAGTCTGACCGCATCATCCTTCCACCTCGAGTACGGTATCTTTTCGTGACCAAGCTCCCAGAGGAGCATTCCGAAGCTTTTAAAGGAAGCATGTTAACCTCATTGAAAGGACCACGTGTCTTGAAAAAGCTGCTCATCTACCTGTAAGTTTCGCATTTAACATCATATCGGGTTTTACTGTCTCGCATTTTTTCCGGCGCCAACCAAGGAAGCAACTTGGCAGGTGATTTGATCTCACGACTGTGTTCGTTGTGTTCGCGACTGAGGTTAAAATTGGCAATCTTGACATCCAAACTTCCCGCGGTATCGACAACCTGGCGAAATTGGCGGATGATGATGATGATGATGATGATGAAAAATAATAATGTTGACCGTACGTATGGACAATGAAAATGATGCGAATATCTACCAATATGCTCTCGCAACGAATGTCATGATGGAGGATGGAACATTCATGCAAATAAACAAGGCCACTGCATACGTCACGTGCGATCAAGAGCTTCTTATTCCAATCGATTCCGATTTTTTTCTCATAGACATCTTTCAAGGTTCCATACTCGGCCCAATCAAATATGATCACGTGTTCCCCGTTTAGCTTGGAGATTCCGTGGAATCGAATGATGTTCTTGCATATATCCATTTTTTTAAGGATTGCCAGTTCGCTTTGGAGTTTTTTGGAGAGTTGCTCTCTTGTTATTGGTTTACACGCAACTTCCTGTGCAAGATTCAACATTCTCTTGTACACACTTCCACGCTTATCCGTAGGCTTTCCGATCGCTGGATACGTCAATTTGTTCTCTGGGATCTGGGGTGGCGTGAAAGAAGTTTGACTGTCTGCGTTATTTAATTGTCGATTCATTTCTCTGACAAGTTCATTCGTGTCCCGCAAGGTCTCCCACTTTTTGTCCAAATCACTTCTCAGATCTTCCACCTTGGAGCTCACGTCCTCCACCTTGATCTCAATGCTGGACTTGAGAGTTCCGACCAGCTGGAGTACATTCCGGAATCGAACGTTAGGCCGTCATATCACAAGAACATTTCGTGAAAGCTATCTCACCTTCTTTGTCTGTTCGATGTCTCGATGCATGCTGGCCAACTCTTTCTCAGTTTGCTCGGCGCTGTAAACGGTTATCGCCAGATGCAATTCACCGCTCGCCGTATCATATTCTTTAATCAACTCCTCCAACCTTTTTTTGATGGATTTGGACGCAAAGTATTGCGCGCAACTATTTAACTCTGAAATATCCTTCATAAAATCTTTTACTTTGTTCATGATGTTTATGAATCTGATAAACGTTGTATAGAAACTTTTTTTACGAAATTCCTTTTCATTATCCTCCCTATGGCGATAAAGTTTCTTAAGGGCGACCACACCATTCTCGATACGATCGAACAACAACACACATGTGGTTTTATTATACTTTGCATTCTCGTATGCATTGTTAGCTTCTTCCAGCAATTTCGCCAAACCCTCAATCCACGGGAAAAAAAGTTTTGCGGTGTCGACTGCAACGTTGGCAACACCTTCGGCAACTTGATAAGCAACATCAACAGCGCCAGGTGCGGATTCGTGCTCAGGTTTATTCTCCATGGTTAAGATTGAAGCTGTAGCTGAGCACGCAGACAAGATAAATGCTAAATGCGTCCATTATATCCACACATGGCAAAATTAAATCGTGTAACTATTGCAACGATTACACGGAGATGCATTCTAAACTCCTTCGCAACTATTAGTTTAAACAAAACAACGACATACATTGTAATCCAGATGCAGCAATATGACAATATTACAATCCTCCACAGCCATATAATGATGATATTTGCGTTGCAGGATCATGACAAAGTGCTCAACGCTTGATCGAACAAGGTTTTATCTCTTTGAAACTCAATGAATGAACGTGTGTACGTGTGTTGCCGCAAAAAATTGATATCTAACCTGTTGATTGCAGGTAGCTGCAGAACTTAATGGCGTATATATCAATCTGAAATTCTCACGCCGTGCTATTCCGGACCAGGTAACTCCGGTCGAAAATTCGCAGGCTTAAAATTCACGCGGCGAGGATTGAATATCTCTCGCCACGGATCTGATCATCGAATCGATGAGGTTTGTAATAACTTCTCATTTCTACCAGAAATGAAACCCTGACTATTCATTAAGTATAAATATAGTTTTGAAGTTCTACCATGTAATGGTTGAATAAAATGTTCTTTAGGTGTTACGCTTTTCATTTTCTTATTACACAATTTACTAAATTTTGTTTCTTTAGCAATGTCTTATTTATTATATTGGAAAATAATAAAAATGGTACGTTGGAAGATTTTTCTTGAACCGAACTACCTATATACTTCCCTAATAGAGAAACAATAAGGAGATTCTTAAGGGAACTATCCACCTTGTGGCAAGAAAGTTCCTCTACGAAGACAGAAAACTAGTATAAAGGATCCATTAGCACTGAAAATTTTTCAAATAATCTGTCAAACTCATGGTTCTATACAGTATTACAACCATCCTATATACTAAATGAATATAAATTGAAAAACAAAAGCTTTACAAGATTAAGAAGTGAAGAAAACTTTGTATGAAACAGGAGAGGCTCTAAAGGGAAAAGGAAGTTGATTTATTGTAGAGTAGTTTGGTTGACTATGATTATTGAATCTCTCTATTTTTTTTTATTGTATTCTGTATAGAATTTTCATAGATATTTTTCAAGTGTAAACAAGTTAAAGATTTTTGTGAAGGTGTCTAAAACTTGAGAAAATGTGATTCTTGTATGAAAAGTAGAGACTTGTTATTCAATAGCTTGTTTATTATTATTATTATCATTATTATTATTCTAATTTAGAAAAAAATATTTTAATACCTTTGGTTAATAATATATTTTTTAAGTATTTAATATATAAATTTTACAAAACACTCACAAATATATCTTTTTTTGAAAAACCAAATTTATAACTTTTTATTTTATTATAATAAATTAATAATTTAAACAATAAATAATCATTATAAATAAATTTTTATAATTATTAACTTATATCCTTTAGTAAAAACCAATAAATTTTTGTTTTTATTTTTTTATTTTCTTTCAATATATATAGTACTTTTTTAAACTTGATAAATATAAATATATTATTTAAAATATTATTTATCAAAGATTAAATAATAATAATTATTTTTTAAATTACATATCATAATTAATTGTTATTGTTTTTTTGATTTACAATTAGACTAATATGTTTTATTTTTTATTGTATATTAAAAAAAATATTTATAATTTAAACTATTTTTATATATCAACTTACTTATTATTAAAATTTAAATACAACTTGGAAAATAATATTTTAACTTTTTTTATAATTTGAATTATTTTTTATTTATAAAATTTATTGTTTATGAATTAATATTATAAATTTTCTAAAATTCTATTTAATAAATTAAAAAAGAAATTACTTTTTAGTTATAACTATTTATTTTTATTATATATATTTTTTAATATCTTCTGTTAGATTAGTTATATATACTTTAATTTTTTTTTTTTTTTTTTTTACTCACAATCATGCTGCAATGACATTTCTTTATTGAGATATTGAAAGATATCACAATATTTACAGACTTTCATAAAGTGACTAACTTATCATTGTATATTATTAGTTAAAAAATTATACTATTTAAAAAATATAAAAAGTCTATTAAGCTAATTTGAATTAAACAAAACTAAGTCTAAATTAGATACTCTAAGTCAGATTTTGGAAACAATATTTTGCTCTCCTAGTAACTTGACA